GTTTATATTTTAAGAAATACAATAAAAATATAATTACAATGTAAAATAATTATTTTATTAATAATTCTATTTTATTATTTTTATAATGATTAAAAATATTGTTAATTAGAAATAAGGGGTAAAAAGTGTAATGTTATTGATGAGTATTTAAGATTGAACTTTAAAAGAATTAATTTATTAAATGATTAATTTAATATTTCTATTAATTACACTCGCATTTGGAAAGAAATGTAATGAGTACAATGAATATATCCCAGTTGTAGATAGTGTTGATAATGTATTTGAAATGATGAATTAATAAATTCAGAAGATAATAAAAATCAGTGATTAATGATTTGAAAATGAATTTAGAATCATATGTATACAAAGATATATTGAAGAATCAACCAATTAGTTCATATTATTATGAAAAAGTACAAATAAAATAAATATGGATAGTGGAAGTGTATATGAATTTTATTCACAATTTCAATATTTATTTATTTCACAAAAATATCCTTTATTATCTCTTTCATTAAAACAAATTCATGGTTCATATAGAAATTATATTGTTTATTTTTATTATTTCATTCGTTTTAATATTATGTTAGATAAATAAAAACATATGTATCTTATTCTTAAATATTATTATAAAAATGTAAAGATGTTCCAACACAAATAGAAAATAATAAAGATATTTATGTTAAATCAATAAATGGAAATGATCAATTTGAAATTATTAGAGAATTTGGAAAGAAGTATAGTTCATTTAAATCTCTTCATGTTCAATTTCCATTTTCTAATTCTTCTATTCTTGTTAATTCATTTAAGAAACAAAATTTACTTTTATTACTTTTATCAAATCATTATTTAAATACACTTTTAACAATTATATTAGAAAATGATGAAAGTGTTGATGTTCATTATAATTTATTAAAATTATCAATTTATCATTGTATAAATCAAAAAGATAAAATCATTCTATCATCAAAAGAAAATTATACAAATATAAATAATAAGAGAAATGAATATGGTGATAAATATGATAATATTTAATGTAAAATATCTAATAATAATATTAATACTCTTGTTATTAAATGATATGATATTAATAATGAATTATACTTACTTCAAATTTGTATAGAATTATTTGATTCAAATGAATATCAAATTCAAGTTATTCTTCAAGAAAATAAAGATAGAAGTGAAGAATTATGAATATGGATTCATTATTAACACCAAACTATGATGAAAATTTACTTTCATCAACAAATCTGATAATACACTTTCAATATTAAAAAATGATATATGGAATATTTTGTTGACCCAAAAACATGTGAGAAAAGATGAAATTATGGTGATGAAAGAATATAAATAGAAGAATGTATTTGTAGAATCACTGAAGATGATAATACATGGTTATTATATAGATATTGTATTAGAAGACAGAGAAGATGGTATACAAAACTAAATATTATTAAATATGGTGATATTAAACATAAAATTACACAAATATCAGAATATGTTTCATAACCACAAATTCAACCATTAAAACATCAAAGAAAATCAACAGAAATAATAATTTATACATATTCATTTTGTTATTCTACTTGTTCATTTATAACAAAAGGAATAAAAGAATGGGGAGGAGCTATTGTTGTATGATATGATGGTGATTCATATGGTAAAGATGAAGAAATTGAAGTAGGACAATCACCATCAGCTAGAATGATAAGTATAATTACAGAAAAACAATATGATTACAAACTATTAGAATTTTCACTTATTTATAATATTTTAGAAACATTTAAACATAATTATAAATATAATGAAAATAAACATAGAGAATTTATAAAAGATGTAATAGATGAAAGAGTGAATATATATCAATATGTTATAAGAGATGAAATAATAGAAGAAAATGAAGAAGAAACAAAAAAGATAATAAAGAACTATCAAATAAAATGGAATCAAAATAATAAAAGAATAGTTAAAATAGATAATAAATATGATAAAGAAATTAATATAAAACATGTACATTGATGATATGAATATGGAGATAAATGAGAATTGAGTACAAAATGTGTACTATCATATTTTGAATCAAGATATAAATTTGATTATAATAAAAATAAATGTGATAAATGAATTTGTGCATATCCAAGTAGTTGAAATAGAATAATGATAATAAATCTAGTTATGATTATTATTGGATTAATGATGATAATTGTTTAATTGAAGAAAGAATAAATTATTATTTAATGTTTAATTTAATAAAATAAATAATAAACAGATTTATATCAAATAAAATAAAAGAATAGAAATAAAATAATAAAATTATAACATAATAATAATAATCAATATTAAATATAAATAAGAATAATACAATAAATAAGAAGAAAATAAAGAATGAAAATAAATAAAATAATGATAAGAATATAATAAATAAGAATAAATTAAATAATGAATCAGATAATAAATTATAATAAGATATAAAATTAAAGATTATAATTCATAAATAAACATATTATATATTATATTAAAGAAATGAATAGAAAATAAATAATAGAGAGAATAAAATAAATGAATAGATAATAAATATGATGAGTGTATCATCAAAATTAGAAAATATCATAATTAATTTAATTTAGAATTGTTTCATTAACATAATATATAAATTTGATAGGAAAAGGATAGGTAAATCTAATAATAAGAATATAATAGAAAGAAATATAAATAAAGAGAAAATAAAAAGGGGGTAAAATTGAATTTATTTTTATAAATAATGTTTAATCATAAAATTAAATAATTTCAAATAAAATAAATAGAAAAATAAAATAATTGTATTATGTTAGTTTTCAAGATAAAAAGGGGGTAATAAAATAAAAATAAATGAGAAAATATAATTGAATTGAATAAAAAAATAACAAACAAAATAAATTATAATAAGAAATTATATAAAGAAAAAGAATAATTACATTAATAACAATGATAAATAATACAGAAATGAACAAAAATATAAATACAAAATAAAAGAACAAATTTTCATAAAAACGATAAAAATATGAATATAAAATAAAAATAAATACAAATAACATTACATTAACAATAATATTAATAATTTTATGTAATGATTATAAAAAAATGTAAAATAAATAAATAAATAAACATCATTAGAAGAATAAAGAAAATATAATAATTCTTCATTCGTTAGTATTTAATGAAATGATAATAACTATATAATAACAATGACAAAAGAGTATACAAGAGAAGATAGAGAACGATGTGGATTGAACATTCCAGAAGAATTTAATGCAATTGACTATGAATGTTTTATGGGATGTTGTGATATTGATAAAATTAATATTCCTACAAATATTACATCATTAGGAAATAAATGTTTTTATAGGTGCAAATCATTAACGTCTATTAATATACCAACTTCTGTTATTAAAATAGGAAAATATTGTTTTAGTGGATGCGAATTGTTAAAGTCAATTACTGTTCCATGTTCAGTTAATGACATAGGAAATGAATGTTTTGGTGAATGTCCATCATTAACATCAATTGATATTGAAAATGTTCAATTTATTAGTGAGGATAGAATGTTGTAGAAAAGAAAA